AAGAAAGTCCACGTCAACACACGATAATAGAGTCAATTATTATAATTTCATGCATTTCTTTTACACAAATAGCATTTACAGACTGACAACTGGACACTGAAATGACCTTGGTTGAAATAATCATACTCAGAAAGGCTTATCCAACAATGTCCGGCCGGGGGTCTTTGTACGTACGGTGTAGCGCTTTTTCTTGTCCCTTTGCTCGTTGTGGCAGGGAATGCTGACGTTGGGCTGACCGGTTTGCTCCTCCATCTTTGTCGGCATTTATAGGCGTAAGATCCAAAAGTAATGCGTCCTCCTCAGGGGAAGACTTCAAGTATGCAACTGGCCCGTTCCCATCGCGGGTCACTTCTGCAGGAGAAGAAGAAAAAAAAAAAGAAGTTGCCATTTTGTTATTTAGGAAGTGAAGCTGCTGTTGTTCTGCTCTGGACACATTTCAGTCTGCGGCGTGGACGTCGCCCACGTCAGAGATGATCAACGTTTACCGCGGACAATGACTTTGCCGTCATTCATTCATACGGTTTATTTGATCTTTCACTGAGTGAAATGTCTTAATACTCTGAGGCGTTTTCACTCTGCTAAGAATGAAACCCTCCCCACTTCTCTCCTTGAGGATAGATTTAACGTTACCCACGTTACCCAGGCAACCACAGGAGGGACAGCACAGCACAGCACAGCATCCCCCCCCGTGCTCCCTCCTGACGCGCTCTTCCCTGCTGGCTCTGTGACATTTTACCAAGCACCGGTCAGAAGAGAGGTATTTTTAGATAAACCTTCCAGGGGTCTCTTGAAGCTGGAGTTACACAATAGGTTAAGACCCCCCAGAGTTTTTCCACCACGTCGGTAAGAAAGAAATGGAACTCATTGCTGAGGTGCGATGGACTCCTTCCCCTTTACGGCAGTGTGAACAAAAAAGGCCAAGACCGGAGTTTACTGAAGATGAATTCAGTTCATTACTATTGCAAAGAGTCCAGTCGGCGAGTTACGATCAATGTGGAGTAGATGCGATCTCCTCTGTGCTGAACACACCTGATAAAACCATCATGTGTCGTGGTGCAATCTGAATTAATTACACACACAGATGCGTTTCTCTCTTCCTTGTTTATTTGAACACAAAGCCCTTTGTCTGCTGGCCTGACTTGTTCATTGTGTGTTGTCGGTGAGCTCAGCCTAGTTTTGTTTCTGTAGTTTTTCCGTCGGTTCTAACAACAAACAGGAAAAGCGTCCTCGGGGTGAGACGAAGACATCCCGAAGAGATGTCTCATTCTGCTCACGTTGGGCAGTCGGCGGTAGAGCGTCCCTCGTTGGAATGCGATCAGTGACCCGTTTCAACACTGGCTGCTGCCCCCCCCCCCCCCGCTCTGATTCTCCTTTCAACTTTCTTTCACTTTTATTCTCAGCCTGATTCATTCCGTCGAACCGCAACGAGGGCAATTACATCATCGCGGTTCTCCTTAATTCGTTTAATGAATTGTTTATTTATGAAGAGCAAAAGGAGGCCCCGTCAAAATGTCTGTGACACTCTTTCGGCAATGACATGAAGAGAAAACCCTCACGTTGAAATTGTTGAAAGGTTTTAGATGTTCTGCTTGAATAATGAGCCACAATGATGAATTGACTGTTGAAATACTGCATCTTTTGTCAACAGACTGATCGCTCAACAAGCGCTCGTTCAAACTGGATCTTCCCCACATGATGAATGTGGTTTGTCTCCAGTCAGACAGCCCTGTGCGTCCAAAAGCCTCCCCAGTAGAGACACGACGCTCGTGGTCCGTTTCACTGAGCTGCTACACATCTGTGCTCACGTTCTCGAGGTCACCAGACTCGGCACTCGTCACTGGATAGGACCCACTTTTTAACATTCCACAGCTCGTGGGAGAATAAAACTTACCAACTGTCGTGTGCGACTCACATTTTACAGCTGACACGGCTTCTCCTTCAACACGATACAATGCTGCAGATCAACACACCCACCGACAGACATTGCCAAGATTTTGGGGAAAAAAAAAAACGCTCAGAGAGGCATAATTAGCCGTTAAAAAGGAACAAGATGAACGTTTAGCACATTCTCTCTAGTCGCACTTTGAGGCCAGCATGCCCTGCACTCGGTGCCACGGCATGAATTAACTTGTGCTGACAGGCACAAACACGGCAGCTTACTACACACTATCAAAAATAGCATTCTTCCTGCCTGGCTCAAAGACACAACCCTCGCCCTGTGGATATCCTATGAGGATGTTGAACATCTTTTTTTTTTCTTTTCCTTTTTCTTTCGGTGTGCATAGCTGTGAATCCCGCGTGACAAGAAAAACAAGGGCACCGGTCGCTGTACAATGTTAAATGAGATGTGAAAGCTCAACCGGGGCGCCTGTCAACTGAAAGACCAAAGGAATGCAAAAAAAAACAACAGTCTAGATTTAACAAAACTGCTTTTATAGTTTGGAAGCAAGTTAATCTGTGAGGTGCGAGATGGTAGATTCTACGGGACGCCTCTGATTATAATGCAACGGAGACCGACCTCTAGCTGAGGAAGTGCAGCTGCAGAAGTGTGAGTGGCACAAACTCATGTCAACCCCAGATGCGTGCAGACAACCTCAGCATCTGGACAAATTCCTCACCTGACCCGTCTGTGCAGACAACTCGCAGTCTGCAAAAAGAAAAAAACAGCGGTGCTGACTTAACAGACTGTTAACAGACTGGCCGGAATGAGCCGGCAAAGTTTCAAACGCTTTAGAAAATGTAAGAGGACAGCAGGATGGTCCGTTTCTCCTTAAGCCACTTATGTGTGAATCAGCTCCACACTACTGGAACTACTGTGATCGTAAACTCCATCTTGCCGTGTTTTAAAAGAAGTGACGCGTGTCTGGTCGGGGAAGGAAAACAGGGAGGGAACAACAAACCATTAAAAATGTTTTTTTAAAAGTCTATTGCAAACTGTCCACACAGCTGAATCAACAGCCAACGTGGGGATTCACGTTGACAGCGGTGAGGCCTGACACACCCTTTCCACGGGGGGTGTAACACGGCCCCCAAAAGGCCTCACCTATTACACTGGGGGGTCAGGGAAGGGAAAGGAACACACACACACCGATCTAATGTTTAGACAATAAAGGTTAGACGTGCTTTAAGGGTGTCGCACAAACTGTGAACGATACCGCGAAAACGTGTTTTGAGTTAGTTTTCTTCCCTCCGGTTCAGTGTCCAGTCAGTCCACTCGATAAGGTTGTCGTAATAGCTAACTAAGTTATCGTTTTATCCAAACTAGTTAACGTTGGGTTGTAATTAGAGCTGCGTGTGCTAAAAGCCGTCGTTTGGAAAGCACGACAGCAGGCGTAACGTGTAAATGAACATTACGTACCTTACAGCATTTTCATCCGGTGTTTGTTTATTTTCCTGAGTCCAGTGAGGCTATTTCGCTCCACGTCATTTTGAAACTATCAGTACAGCGAAAAGTATCGATTTGTTAAAAACAACCAAAAATACCCTCCTAGAACTTAACTTGAGTTGTGTCGCTGTCCATAGGAGTATGTTGAGTGCGTGTGGGGGAAGCAGGAAACATCGCTCCCTCTTTGCCCAAGAAAGTTCCGATGAAATGTGTCACGGGACTTCTCTGCTGTCAGGCCGAACACAATACACCGGTGCACTTCCGGTTTAGCATTTCAAAATATAGGTGAAGAAACGAAAGAGGTCGGTAGTGGTGGGATTGTTTTTCTACGTTTACTTAAGCATTAAAATACAATTTTAGGTACGTCTTATACTAGTGGGTGGTCACACTCCAGACATTAATGCATGAATAGTATCAGTCTAATCATCTGACGGTAACATAACTCCCTTTTATTCGGTATTTGTTTTCAGAGGTACAGTAAGCTATTTCCGGTGGATCTATGGTTGACTTTACACAGCAACTTTAAAACTCAGGAATGTCAACATTGAAAAATCAAACGGTTAAACAGCGTCACTTACTGGTAGAAAAACAGGACAAGCCTCATGTACCCCGAATTATCATCCACATGCCAATTTTTACCTCCAGAACTAATAGAAATATATTATTTAGGGTGATGATGTCTACATGAGAATTATGAACCATTGATTATAGAAATAAATTAACAATGAATTAATCATTTATGGCGAGTGGTTAATTTAAGGTAACATCTCAGACATAACATTTTAAGAGTGGCAAAGGTTTGTCCACACGATGTCAGTAGAACCCAATTTGAAGAAGTAGTGACGTTATGTAACTGCTGCCTGTCAAAAAGAAAAATGAAATATTGTATTGTTATATATTATTTTTGTCATTTTTAATTGTCTAAATATATATTGTAGATAGAATCCAGTCTTTGTAGTATACCAATGGCAGTGCCCTGGCCAACCTAAATGCAACGGCCTAAATCAATGATATTATTTACATTTGTGTTTACCCTGAATAGTCGAAAGTGCTGCCTTGGAAAGGGCATAGATTGTAATATTAGTATGGATCTTAAGCCTCGACCTTCTCAAATATGATGTTATGTCAATTTAAAGACATTATCCCAATGAAGCAACAGCAGGTGGCCTCATCAATGCACAGTGCACTCCTGTTTAGTTGTACACCATCTGGTAATACACAAATTAAATTGTAATACAATAGCTACCTGCTTGTATGAATATGTAATAAAAAATGACATATTAAAGATATTGAAAACAAAATAACACATCAGCATTGCAGATTAGAGGGACACATTTTGGAGATTGGAACCCTATTACACACTACTGCCTTGATGAAGAGATCCTTTCTGCTGGAAAAGGTGACAGTAAAGTTGTCTAATCTAACACCCGCCTCCTTAATTATTTCTACCAACGAAACGCACCCTCCGTACAATTTTAACCAATCACAGACGAGCCTCTCCTTCCTTTCGACCTATGAGGTTTGAGTACAGACGGCTCGTCTCACAGCCCAGTTTCTGACCAATCGGGAGCGAGGCCGCCCGCGCAGAGGGGCTGGGCGCGAGAATCGGCGGGATGGACAAAAAAATAATAACGCCGATTAAGAAGTACAGGAGATTAAGACGGGGACAGCCGAGAGTAACGCACGCCGCGGGTTAGTCTCCCCTAGTTCACGCTGACTCACCTGAAACGAGTAACAGAAGACGACAAAGCGAAGCTTTTTTCGAAGATGATGTCGGCGGCGCGCGGGGCGTCTCCGCGGCGGTCGTGATGTCGCGGACCGGACGCTGAAGTTAGCTCGCTGGCTAGCCGGAGACCGCCGGCCGCACGGCGCCGCCTCTGCCGAGAAGCGTGCGACGACTCGCGGCGATTTCTATGGACGAACGTCCATTACCGGGGGATTTTAGACAGCTGCCAAACAACGGGTACGTCTCCTGGAAAAGGTTCCATCCTCCCACCGAGTGTCATGGACAACGTGAAGCCACGCAGGTGAGCGAGCAGCGTCACGCGTCGCCGTGCAGCCCGTCGGGCGCTCACCTCCAGGGAGCATTAAGACTTTAGGTCTCATAATACGGTGTGTGCATTCATCATGCATTCATTCAGCGAAACGTGCAATGCACGTGCACCTGCATGGTCATACAGCAACGAGGTCCCCTTAGTTAATGATTAATAACTTATTATAACGTTATTTTACAGATCCTAGTAGCCTTAAAATAGGTGCAGATGACTCCTTATATGCAAATGTTCACGTATGAATCTCATTTTTAACCTCGGTGAGGCTTTTGTTTTATTAATACTGGTGGATTGATAAAGAGTGCGTCATATTTTGCTGAGCATCGGAGCCGATTGTCAAACAGCAGTTATGCAAAAGCATCATCCTTGGAAACAACTCAGACAGATTAGTTGTAATATATAGATTAACGTAAGTGTTTTAGATATTGTTTTTTTACTGCACAAATGACACAAAAACTCGTGTCAAAAGGTACACGTGTTGGTTTGTGGTATCAGATTATAATGACAAAGGAAGAAGGAGATTATTTAAATATATCAACAGACAGGTGCACATTGATATGGATATTTGCAACCGTGTGTTGCAAATGTTTATATACAACGCAGTGAATTGATCGATTTGTTTTATTATGATGTTTTTACACCAATTCTGATAATCAAGGAATCATTCATCCTGCTCATCAAGTGGAAAGATTTGTAACAATTGAGTTTTATCTCAGTAAAAAAATGATCTTTGGATTTTGGGACGGACACAACAAGCTTTTTGAAGATGGGCGATATGTTTCACTATTCACACCTTTATTATGCTGTAATGAACTAATTGTTGATTACCTCACAACCACCACCTCCCGTTGTTGCCCTGCGGTGAACTACTGATGGCACTTTTCTCTCAGAATTAGAAAAGCTTGAAGCTGTATGTCACAAGTATTTCTATTGCAGCACATCATCATCATGACTATTAATGTTTGTACATTTTTGTCTTGTCTTCTCCTGAGAATTGTCCTTTTAATATAAACAAATACTTTATTCGTATTAGTCGTAAGTGCGAGGACGTTTTAGGGTCTGCCTGTTTTTTTGAAACTTTGAACAACTGGACCGTTAGGGCTACGGTTCCCCAAACCACACCCCGGTGCACCGCCCCCCCCCCCCCCCCCCCATCTCAATGACACACACACACACACACACACACACACCTCTTGAGGTGAAAGAGCCTGTTGATCGGGGATCGCCCCTCACCTCCCCTCCTTCCTGTCCAGCCCCTATAGGTCCAGACTCGGCTCCCTTCTTCTCCTCGCTCTGGTTAGGGGAAACTCAGTTGCCATTTTTTAACATTTCCACGCTGGAGATGACCTTTCATACACAGTCCGAAAAACAAGACCCTTTTGTATGTGTGTGTGTGTGTGTGTGTGTGTGTGTGTGTGTGTGTGTGTGTGTGTGTGTGTGTGTGTGTGTCTGCTTTACAGTTAACAACTCTCAGGAACAGAAAACTCTCATTTTGCCTTCCGTTTCTGACATTTCTTTTCCACCACCATAAAGTGTTGCCCAGCAGCACGTTTTATGGGAACGCAGAAGTACAGTCCCACCTGCCAACTTCTTTGGTCAGTGAAGAGGTATTTTGTGTTTTTGTATGCAGCCATGTATACTTCCTTACAAGGTGTTTCCTTTTTCTCGTTCCGACACAGTTTGTCAAAAATGAATGGGTCCTCTTTATCTCCAACGTGAAAGCCCTGTTGTGTTATTGTGTCTCACCCGGCAGTCTAACAAGCTCATTTCTATTCGATCTGTTGTTATACTATATATAATTTATTTACTCATGTTATAAAAGGACTCCGTCTATTTTGTCTTTATTAATAAAACCTGCTCTTCATTTACGCCCCCCCCCCCACCCCCCGCCACCCCTCATTTGCAGTTTTAGCAATGATGAGGATGAAGAGCTACACTCCACAGACCAAGAGAGTAAAGAGAAGGGCAAAGATAAAAAGACGCTGTGCAAAGTAAAGTGGTCCCGAGATGAGGTAAGTTCATCAGAGGCGCGCGCTGAAAGACGTTTGTGGGTTAATGGACTGAAACGGGGACGTTGTAATGATTTACATTTAGTCTGAGAACCTCACTAGTCATTGCTGTTATCGTGGATCCCTGCTGCATTTCCTCACCAGGCCTCTCTCTCTTTTTGTTTTGGGATCACCCTTCAGGATGAAAAGCTGAAAAAACTCGTAGAGCAGCATGGACCCGACTCCTGGAAACTAATAGCTAACTTTTTCTCCGTAAGTATGTGTCGGCACCACAAAAGCTATTTGAATATTAAGAGTAGTACCTCACTGCTTTATGCTATATTTGTCATAACACTTGACAACCGTCTAGCAACCCGATAATTACCGTCGTTCCTCGACAGGATGTTTTTAAACGTCTGCGTGGTGAGATTCGTAGACAGCTGTCGGGTGTAACTGTGAGGTAGCGGCGTGACGAGGTGTTGTGCTTTGTGCGCCGATGTCACAGGGGAGGACAGATGGCCAATGTCAGCACCGCTGGCAGAAGGTGCTCAACCCAGAGCTGGTAAAAGGACCCTGGACAAAGGAGGAGGATCAGAAGGTAAGCAGAGCCGGGACTGTGTTGCCAGGTATCGAGTGAGGAGAGAGAACTGGTAAACGATAGGGGTGACAGAAGGAAGCTGTGCACAAGTGCCACAATGTACAAAGTATTATTTATTTTACCTTCAGCTCTTAACAGGGCTGTTACTTCCCGCAAAAACTGCCATGCCAACCAAATGCTCCACTACGTCACCCGGTAAAAAAAGCACAGACTTTCCGAGCCACACAGCTTAACGCCCTTTTTTGTACAGAGAGGAAGATGACGATGTGTTCCTTTAATGGTTCACAATCCTTCAAGAATCATATGAGAACCAAGCCAGTCCTGTCAATAACACAGACACATTTTCTTTGGGGAAGAGAAGAGTGTAACGATGCAATTTCATAGAATTAAAGCATCGCCGGCGATATTCGTGCAGGTCATCGACCTGGTGCACAAGTACGGCCCGAAGCGCTGGTCGGTGATCGCCAAGCACCTGCAAGGGAGGATCGGGAAGCAGTGCCGAGAGCGGTGGCACAACCACCTCAACCCGGAGGTGAAGAAGTCTTCGTGGACTCAGGAAGAGGACAAGATCATCTACGACGCCCACAAACGACTCGGCAACCGCTGGGCCGAGATATCCAAGCTCCTCCCCGGCCGGTAATTAGAACCTTGCGCAGCGCGACCCGCCGGCGCGGCCGGTTTGACCAGCCGACAACGCGTCAACAACACGTCCCCCCTCTCTCTCTCCGACAGGACGGACAACTCCATCAAGAACCACTGGAACTCCACCATGAGGAGAAAGGTGGAGCACGAGGGATACCTGCAGGACGGCTGCAAGAGCTTCGCCGCCTCTCACGCCGGTTTGAAGAGACGCCACCACAGGCCGTGTCCCCCGCCGCCGCCGCCGGAGCTGCAGCTGTGCGATCGCAGTCCCCTGCCTCCACCGGCACCACCCAACCAGGTCCTGTTCCCCGCTGAGCTCCGTCCCATAGGACTAGTTCGTGAGTGGCCTTTATTAATTGAAGTCCGGTCCTTTGCGTTTTAGATGGGGGGTTATGCGTACGATCCTCGCAGCAGACACCCGATGGACGGCCTGCCGGATCACTCTGGCTTCGCCTTGGTGAGTTTTCTTCAGGTGTCTTTCTTTGCATGCCGGTGGGGGAAGCTCTCTGTATTTTTCCGGACTTTCCGAAGTTATCTCTGCGGTCGCTAACACTGGATTTCAAATCAAGTGCTTGAATGTTCCGTTATTTCACCTAACATTTTCAAATTCTCAAATGCTCCCGTGGATATGTCACGTGTATATCTGTGTTTGTTTGTGTTTTTTGTCCGGTTCTTCTTAACCTCTTCCTTTCCTCCTGTCCTCTCGTCCTCTCCTCCCTGACGTTTGTTTATTTCAGCCGTTCTGCCCGGACGATCCTGACAGAGAGCAAAGAATTAAGGAGCTTGAGCTGCTGCTTATGTCAGCAGAGAATGAAGTCCAGCGGCAAGCGCAGTGCAGAGGTCCACGCGTAAGAAACACACTCCCAACGTGTGTTTGCGTAGTTTATTAGCATAGCTGACGTACACTGGAAAAAGTCCCTTTTCTGTTTTGTTTTTACATGAATGTCATTATCTTGTTTTAACACAAAATCAAATCAAAGTGAAAGAATGTTTTCCTGTTATTTTGGAAACCTTTTACACGTAACACTCGTTAACAGGAATTTCTCAAATCTCCTCTGACGTTTCTCTTCTTTTGGGAGATTTTCAGACTTGACGCTAAATGGACTTTTTGCCGTGTATAGAACAAGAATGACACACATGTATGCGTGTCTGTAGCCTGGTTTGCTGTAGTGTTGCTATAGTAACCACCTTCCCCATCTCGCCTACTCATTCAGACTGAAGCTGTGCTTGGTAGCCTCCCTCCCCTCTCCCCATCCCCTGTTATCATGGTTCTAAACATGATACTAGTACCTCCCCCCCACACACACACCTGCCCACGCTCAGCCAGCACTTTGAACCGGGCACTCTCCTCTGTCTCTCCTTTCCTGTTCTGTCCCTCCCTCCATTCATCTTAACTGCATATTGAACAACAGAGCGGTCGGGATCGGCAGCGTTGTCCTTGACACGGGTCATTTGAAGAAAAAGAAGAAAAAAAACTGACTCCGCGTTCTCTCACCCCGCCCCCCCCTCAGAGTTTGGAGCAGTACTCGGCCTGGTCCGTCAGTGTGTCGGACGAAACGTTGGCAGCGGGCAGCAGCAGCAGCGTGGAGGAGCAGGCGGAGAGAAGGCCCTGGACGGGGCCCGAGGACCCCCGAGGGCCTCCTCCACAGCTTCCCGTCTCCCCCAGCAAGTTCCTGGCTGTAGAGGCCAGCGCCGTGCTCTCCACCCTGCAGACCATACCGGAGTTCGCAGAGACCATGGAGCTCATTGATTCGGTGAGTGCGCCGAAGGAACGGGATCTGCTGAGCTCCCCCGAGAGCCGCGGGTGTATTAAAGATCCTCCGTAGATGTGTTTCGCTCTGCAGGACCCCGGCGCGTGGAACGACGTGGCCAGTTTCGACGTGTCGGAGACGGCGACGCCTCCCCGGCACAACCAGGCAGGCTACACCACTCTCCTGCAGGAGAGGACCGTAGACACCTCGATGGCCTTCGCGGTCAACACTCCGCCCGCCGTCCCGGGTCCCGATAAGAACGGCGCTTTGTTCGGTGTCGCCTCCTCGACCCCGATCAAACACCCGCAAGCCTCCGGCGGGAGGAGGCAGAGGAGGGAGAGGGGGGAGCCGTCTCCTTCGCGCGACAGGGCCCGCTCTCCGTTCTTGGAAGACATCACGAATTCTCCCAGGAAAACGCCGACAAAGTCGCTGCCATTCACCCCGTCACGAGTGAGTGAACGCTGTCTTCTAATTCGCGAGTCGACGCATTCTGGTCGCATCAGTCACGTGGCTAATATGCCTTGTGTGTCTGTTGGCTCAGTTCTGCAACGTATCGGGGGCGGAGCATCTCAATCTCGATAACCCCTCCCACACCTCAACGCCCGTGTGCGGCCAACGGTGTCTCCTCCACACGCCGCTCTACAAAGAGACCACACCTAAGCACCAGAAAGAGAACGATGGGTAAATACATTTATGAAAGCAGTGTACATGCCACAAGGGCTGGTATGAAGGCCGGACACTTGCTCTGCCTTCTAGTCATTTGGAGAGTACTCATTGTGTTGTATTCCCTGTCAACATTGTAGTTTACGGACCCCGAAATTCCGTAAAACTGTCATGATTCCGACCCCGAGGACACCGACTCCCTTCAAAAATGCTTTGGCTGCTCAGGAGAAAATGCACGGGCCACTAAGGATGGAGGTCAGAAGTCAAATATGGGTCTTTTAACCTGCATGTTCATTTCCATTAACCTCTATTCATGATAACATTTTCTTATTTTGTGCAGTACATAGCTACATGATCTCGCGGTTAAACCCACGTGTCTGTTTCAGCCACAGCCTCTGGCATTTCTAGAAGAAGACATTCGAGAAGTTTTAAAGCAGGAGACCGAGGCAGACATCTTTAACAGATCGGACCTGCAGCCAGATTACAGAGCATGGAAACACAATGTATGTGTATGCATGTTCTCCCCTTTTTTCACATATACTAACTTACGTGTCTGTTGTTTGAAGAGACAAATGCTTACGGACACACTGTAGAATTCCGCTGCGCTACTTGCGTACAATCGCGTCACGCTCCTCTTGCTTTCAGATTGACGGCCCGGCAAGAAAGGTGCGCAAGTCTCTTGTGTTGGACCCGTGGGGGAAAGACTGCCCCAATGTCCAACTCTTCCAAGAGCAGCTGAACAACGCACAAGTAAGTCACAACACTTGTTTTTCACCAGTTTACAAAACGCACGCAAGCCCAGCTTCTAGACCAATGAGATGGTGACCCGTGCAGCTTTTTGAAAACGGTACACTTCCCTTTTAGAATACTGCTTTATACAAATTAAGTGCGGCGTCATCATTCCTTGTGTTTTTTTCTTTTACGCGACCTCGTGCTGCAGGTGTCCGGTGAACGCGTCCTCACAGGCGCTTCGCTCGCCACCCGGACCCCCGAGAAAGAAGGGACGAGCCGCTCGTTGACTCCCGGGCGAGGGGAGCCCTCGTTGGTGGCCGCTCGTCCTCCCCGCTTCACCAGCCCCCGCGCGAAGAAGCTCCTCGCCTCCGGCAAGGCGCCAAAACACGCGGGACCGGTAGGCAGATCTTTTCAAAATACCGCCCCCCCCCTCCCGAAAATCTCCCTCGGGCAACAATCACGCGTGGTCTTTTCTCTGCAGGTGAGCGAGTGGGAAGCGGTGGTTTACGGGAAAACGGAGGACCAGCTGATCATGACGGAACAGGCCCGCAAGTACCTGAACCCCTACACGTCGTCGGGCTCTACCTCGAGGGCCCTGGTGCTTTAAGGCCGTCACCCTCGCTGCGCATGCAACACTACTACCCCCCCTTCTACCCCCGCCTACCCCGTCCAGCAAGCGAAGCCTCCACTTTATCCTGTGAGAGACAATCCAACAAAACACAAACCAGCTTATCTTTCTTTGGAGCAGCGATGGGCTTGCCGAGGACGGCCACACTTTACACTTCACTGCCCAAGTAGTTTGTTGATTCTGTTTTTCCTTTGAATGCACCAAACGTGGCAACCGGAGCTTTTTTCGCACAGATATGAAAAGGGCGGACGTTCTTTCTGCACTAGCGAGTACTGAAACAACCGTCGCATACAGCAGCAAAATACTGTTTATTGCTTTGAGTTTTTTAAATCGTTAATATATTGTTGACATGAGAAGACGTTTTACAAGCAACACTACTCATCGGTAACGGAAGCCATCGCTGAGAACTAAGAAAAGAGAACGTGAAGCTTCCCTTTGACACCCTTTTCCTTAAGAACAATTCACACCGCCGGTCTTTAACGAGACTCCTACAGTGCAGAACATAATGTCACACATTGCTGAGAGAAACAGAAATGCAGCAACGTGTTTGGTTTTTGTGAGGCGGGCGATCCACGCCGGTGTGGCGCTTCTGGAAAGGATGGAAAAAGGAAACGGTCAGTGTTGCACTACTGAGTTGATTTGGCTGCTGTGGACGGAGCAGCGCATGTAAGGGCAAACTGGATAGCACTTGTGACGGTGTCTTTTTCCAACAACGCGTTTCCTTTCCGAGGCCGTAGTGTCTGTCGAGACGCCGGTTGAATGTATTTTCATTGCAATGAAAAAAAAAAAACTGAAAATGGAAGGGTACCTTAATGTTTATTTCTGTTTTTATTTATTATCTGACGGCTCTAAAGCTTAGATATTAATATAAATCGAACAATATGAGTTTTTACAAAGTTTAACTAACTAAACGAAGTTTAGCTAACAAAACAGCCTAAAACAAAACAGCCTAAAAACTCTAAAAACTGTTTTTATATCATTAGTGATCTATTACAAGCATTTGTTTGAGAACGATTTTCTTTTCATGTGAAGGCTGTAGGTTTTATTTATTTAATATCTGCTAATTTATTTATTCCAACAACAAAAAACACATTTAAGAGAAATTATTGAAGAATTTTATTGTTTTTTTTCTTTCTTTTAAAATCAGAATTGGGCTACAACTTAGTTTCATTACTCCGAGTTAGATGAAGATGCACCGGCTCCAATTCATTACGTCCATTTGTTTTTTCCATCGGACTAACCCATAATCATTGTATAGTTGTACCTGTGATCTTGTAAGTTTTAGCTTGGACATTTTCTTCCCTTTCGATTTAAATGTGTACTCCGCTGTTAGCCAGCAGGAATCCATCTCCGACCTCTAATCATAGACAAATTGCACTTTTTACTCATGATTTTTAAAAAATGTTTGTTCATTCTGACGTTGTAGCTTTTGTCCTTATTTTTATTTTAATGTTGGACGTGTGTGTGTGTGTGTGTGTGTGAGAGAGACAATTGTCTTCCAGTTTTGTACTGAATGCTGACATTACAATCCTGCTGCTTAACGTGTTCATTTCTCCTGCTCTGCTGCAGAATTTGGTTCAAATACACAATTGAAGCCTCACAAAAAAAACTTCTATTTTGTTTTTAGACCAATGGCTCAGAGCAAAGACCCCAAACCCGTTCCCTCATTATTTAACACGTAAAAAGGAAGTGTTGACAAAATGTAAATATGCACAAATTTTGGTGTGATTCTGAAGGATTGTGCTGCGCTGTGCTTCCATGTTAACAGGCCGATTGATTTCCAACCACCCTGAAACAAACCGTCTATAATCTGGTGAAGTGACACAACAGAATGGTCTTCGTATTACCAGCATTATCAGATCCAGTGTCAGTTATAATCTGGATTATCCAGCATTAAGCGTTTTCAGTGAGAATAAGAAGGGAATCTTGTCAGGAGATGGAAGTGGAAAGATCAGGAGTGAGTCTACGGGATACAACCCTAAAACCGCAAGTAGACTAACGGCCACAGAGGGTTGTTTTAAAACTGGTGTCTAATCTGTATATACATGTGTTAAATGTTCTGTTTGTGGGTTTGACTTGTGTTTATACAATAACAACATTTGGCCATGTGTCATAGGTTTTTAGGGAACTAAGTACACATACAGGACAGTAGCAGCTCTTATGTCCTACTGTAGTTACGCACGAGCAATAAACAGATGCTGGACTTTGCTTTGCTGTAACACGCACTCCGAATGACGTAGCACGCACTGTATTTTTTCAGTCATAACCACGGTACCATAGAAATCATGCCAACCATCTATGTAACCATGTACTTAATTTTGAAAAAATAAATGAATATGTTGCATGACATCTATGGCATTCTTTTTTTTGTTCCATTACAAGCGGGTTACATGCTGTTTCCCACGTGATAAAGATTTCTTAGGATCATTTAGTTTTTCTGACATGCTCCCAGCGGGCATGGGAAGCTCTTGAGCCTTCGCCAATATCAGATTCCATGAAAGGAATTTTCTCGAGGAGATCCGAAAATCCAGATCCACCGTTTCTTTCTTTCTTTGTATTCTA